CTGATGTGGTTGGATCTCTCATAGGCCCCTGGGATAGGTTTCAAGACAGAAACTTCAAAGTTTTATTTTAATTATGTTAACAAAGAGAAATGCAGTGCGGGGTCCAGTTACCCCAACCTATCAAGTGTGGGCCTGCGAGAGGGGGCAGGGTCTACAAAAAAGCACACTTCTCTTCGTATCACCTTTAGGCTATGCTGCTGAAGTCATCTCGCGGGGCCGGGTGCAAACCCTGGCCTTGGGGGCTCCTCGATATCAGCACACTGGCCGGGTGGTGATGTTCAGACAGAGCGCTGGTGCCTGGGAGCTCAACGGGGATGTCAAGGGCAGCCAGGTGAGTGCAGGGCATGTGGGCCAGGGGTGTGCACATAGAGGCACCTGAGGACGAAGATTCTCCAGGGTGGCATTGCCAGGTGCCATGTGTGGCAAAGGCTTCTAAAGGCACCTCAGAGGGCCTTGGGCTGGAGACTCACAGGTCAGCTCTGCATTTGAGAATACTCTCCCTACAATACACATATAAGAGCCTAAGCAACCCTCTGACCATTCAGCTGTCCAACCTGTAGGTGTGATGCTGACCACCAGGGGGCAGATACTGAACACGGGAGCAGAAACCACAGGCATGGAGACATGGAACAGACTAATGAATCTCAGAGGGAAGCGGGGAGGAGGGAGGACGAGAAGAGATTAACCAAAGATCTTATATACATACTGGAGGCCCAGTGCACAGATTTGTTCATGGATGGGGCCCCTTGACCTGGCCTGTGCCCTCCCACAATCTGGGACCCTTCAGGGGATGTTGAGAGCCAGTTTTGGCCTGATTCCTGCAGGCCAGGCAGAAGGACCCCATTGGTGCATGAATCCATGCACCGGGCCTCTAGTAAATAATAATACTGACCTTTACAGAGCTCTCTAGCAGTTTTCCTGTATACAGAGCTGGTATTTGACAATACATAATCAATATAAGCACATTAGTTATTAAAGCATCAAAATAATTCCACATCTGTCAGTAAATAGGTATTTCCTTTTGGTGGCCCCTACCTTGCAAAACGGTCTTTTCCCCAGTACTCCTTTTTATATTTTTTTTAAATCCTCACCCAAGAATATTTTCCCATTGATTTTTAGAGATAGTGGAAGAGAAGGAAAGACAGAGAGAAATAGTGATGTGAGAGAAACACATATTGGTTGCCTTCTGCATGCAACCTGACCAGGACTGGGGCCAGGGCAAAGCCTACAACCAAGGTAGGTGCCCTTGACCAGAATCACACCCAGGAACCTTTGTCTGCAAGCCAACACTCTATCCACTGAGCCAAACCAGCTAGGGCCCCAGAACTCTTTGAACTTCCCCAGCAACTATGAAATTATCTAGAGCACCTCAGGGGACCTCTACGACGTACTCTAGCTAACTCCCTGCTTGGAGCCTGAGCAGTCCTAACAGTTTCCTATCCCATGCAAAAGCAGTGTGGTTGCATCTTATATGGTGTGTGAGGCAAAAATCTTTAGTCAAAAGCATCCTTGCAAATTCCTGAAATAGGACTGTATCCATGATACTGTGCCTGTAGTTCTGTGTGTTTCCTTTAATTAATGCATCGCGTGTGGATGAAACCAGTTTGCTGTGTAAGATTTTGTTGTAATTCTTTGTCAATAGCCAAGTTCTTCATATGCTCTTTAAAAATTTTACTGACTCAGATTGACCATGCATGGTGCCAGAGCTTGACACAAAGGAGGGGTAGGGTAGGGCAGAACATGTGGGGATTCTAGGAAGTCAAGGGGAGGTGTGCTGCTACTTCTCTGTTTTGTGTGTATGGTGCAGAACCACATGGGGAAGGGCCAGCTGGTAAACTCCCCCACCACATACAAATGTTAAACATTCAAATTACCACCCAGGGCACACAATACTTAAACTGTGACAACAAATGGGAGTAAATGGAAGGGGCATCCACACAAGGGCATTAGGGAAGGCTTCCTGAAGGCAGTGGAAAGGAGGAAGAACTAGAGAAGAGTGAGGAAAGAAGACGGCCAGAGGGAGAAAGTGTGGGTTTGGAGTGTGTATGGGGAAGGGGAGGAGGTGGGAGGAAACACTGAGAAGGAGGATAGGAAACAGATTCATCTCAAGTTTACCTGCTTGCTCCATTTTCACTGCTGCTGCCTGGTTCAGGCCGTCATCATCTTCTCTGTAGACCCAGCTGTAGCCTTCCTCCTGGTCCCCCAAAGTCCCATGTTGCCTCCCTCTACTCCATCGAGGGAGGGTGAGCTCACTAAGTGAGAAACTATTATCAGTCTTCAGTTTAAGACCCTTTGTTGACTACAGTCCAATATCCAATAAATACTTTAAAAATTTCAACAAAATACAGTTGACTCTTGAACTATGTGTGTTTGAACTGTATAGATCTACTTTTTCTCCCACAATAAATACCATATGGGGGAAAATTTTGGAGATTTGCAACAGTTTGAAAAATTCACAAACTATATAGCCTTGAAATACTGAAAAAGGTGTGTCATGAATGCAAACAATATGAAACACATACAAAATATGTATCAATCAACTATTTATGTTATTGGTAAGGCTTCTGGTCAACAGCTAGTAGTAGTTAAATTTACTATGTGGATTTCATTTACATGAGAGGGGATAGGTCGAAACCCTTTCATTGTCAGGGGTCAACTATATTAACAAATTGAATTCAGCAATCTCCAAAAAAAGTAATAATACATCATGACCAAGCCTGGTTTATCCTGGGAATGTAGGGCTTGTTCAACAATGATGCAGAAATGAACAAACTGAACCTAAAGTTCAAATGGAAGTGCAAGGGACCCAGAATAGCCAAAATAATCTTGAAAAAGAAGAATGACGATCTCACTTTTATGTGGAATCTAATGAACAAAGTAGATCCAGAGACATGGAAACATGCACCAGACTGAAGGTCCTCAGAGGGAAGTGGGTGGGGAGGGAAGAGAGCAACCAAGGAACCTATAGGCCTGGTGCATGAAATTTGGACACTTGGTGGGGGTCCTTCAGCCTGGCCTGCGCCCTGTCGCAGTCTGGGACCCCTCGCTCCTTACCGCCTGCCTGCTTGCTCACTGCTTCTTACTGCTCGGCTCCTGGCTCCTTAGCACTGCTGAGGCTGGAGGGGCTCCCGCCATTGCTGCTGTGTTCACCAGCTGTGAGCCTGGCTTCTGGCTGAGTGGTGACCCCCCCCCCCCCTTATGGGAGCATACTGACCACCTTGTGATCAGCGTGCATCATAGCAATTGGTTGTTTCGCCTTTCAGTTGATTTGCATATTACGGTAGGCTTTCATTATATAGGATAGGCAAAACCATGGACATAGACATTAGTGGGTGAAGACCAGGGTAAGGGATGAGGGGTCAGTGGAGAATCAGGGGACTTCTGTAACACTTTCAACAATAAAGATAATTTAAGAGAGAGAGAGAGAGAGAGAGGAAGAAGGAAATTGGAGGACTCATACTTTCCAATTTCAAAACTTAAAAAAACAAAAAACAAAAAAAACCACAAAAAACAAAAAACAAAACCTAACCCAAGGAAATTTTTTTCCATTTACTTTTAGAGAGAATGATTGCAGCGCCAGGGATTGAGCCCAAAACCGAGGCACTTTCTCTTGGCCAAAATTGAACCCAAGATCCTTTAGTCCATGGGGCCTATGCTCCAACCACTGCTCAGGGAAAAGCTTAATTACTGTTGACTGAAAAGTATCAGCTAAGCATTATGTCATCAAAAAGGACTTATTCATTAAAAAGGGAGGGCTGCAACCCAGTGCATGCAGACATGGAAAGCCATGTGCACACTCTGGCCTGTGTGCCCCGACAGGGGTATTTATAGAAGGGAAAGGGAAGTTAAGGGCCGGGGAAATCAGAACCTTAGTGCCTTATTATAAATAGTTCTTCCAGTAGGGTCCTCCCCATTACATAGAGTATGAGAACTGTCATAAGCCCTAGCTCCTCCCATAGATCCTCCCAACCAATTATATTTGCTTAAAGTTTCAATTAGCCTTATGCATTACAAGTTACAATAATCAAGACAGTATGGTACTGGCATAAGGATAGACCTATAGATCAACGGAATAGAACTGAGAGTACAGAAATAAACCCATACATTTATGGTCAATTAACTTCTGACAAAGATACCAAGTTCATTCAATGGAGAAAATAATTTTTTCAACAAATGATGCTATGATAAATGGATATCTGCATGAAAGAGAATAAATTTGGACCCCTTACTTCACAATATATAAAAATTAACTCAAAATGGATCAGAGACCTAAATGTAAGAACTAAGGCTATAAACCTCTTAGAAGGACCTATAGGTGAATTTTTGTAATCATAGGTTTGGCAATGATTTCTTAAATATGACCCAGCAAGCATTAGAAACCAAAAAAAAAAAAAAAAAGATAAATTGTAGTTCATCAAATTAAAAACTCTTGAGCATCGAAACACTATAAGGAAAATGAAAAGAATGGGAGAAACTATTTATAAATAATATCTCTGATAAAGGTCTGGTATTTAGAAAATAGAGACTGAGGTGAAAACCAGGTTACAGATGTGAAACACTGAGTTTACTCTTGTATTGTTATTTATTAATTGCATTATTTTCCATCCAAATGACTGTAAACCTACTTTTGTCCCACCCCGTATAAAGAACCCTTACAACTCAACAATAAAGGACAAATAATCTAAGTTTCAAACAGGCAAGGATTTGAATAGACATTTCTCCAAAGAAGGCATACAAATGGCCAACAGGTACATGAGAAATGTTCAACATAAACAGTCGTTAGGAAAATGCAAATTAAAAACACAACCAGTTACCATGAGGTGCATGGAGCACCTCTCGTGGTCCAGGACTCGCGTCTAGCATGGTGAAGCAGGGCTCACAGGGGCCAGTGGGGCTGGTGTGGTGGAGGCGGGGCCTCTGGCTCCTTCAGGGTGGGTCTGGGGGCCTTTGTCTCATGCAGGACAGGTCTGGGGACCTGCCGGTGCAGCAGGTCTGGGTCTTGTGTGATTTCACACACTGGGCCTCTAGTAATACTATAAACAAAGTCTATAAAGGAAACATTGATAAAAAAATACTTCATTAAATGAGTTTTCGCTATGTGAAAGACACTGTTAAGAGAATGAACAACTTGGAAAAAACGTTTGTAAATTTTCCACCCTTTTTTATTACATAACTGACAAAGGAAATATCTAGGATATTTAAAGGATTCTCTAAATTCAACAATAAGAAGCAATCCAATAAAAAAAAATAAGCAGTCGAAGCAGGTTCGGCTCAGTGGTAGAGTGTCGGTCTGCGGACTGAAAGGTCCCAGGTTCGATTCCGGTCAAGGGCATGTACCTTGGTTGCTGGCACAGCCCCGGTAGGGGGTGTGCAAGAGGCAGCTGGTAGATGTTTCTCTCTCATCGACGTTTCTAGCTCTCTATCTCTCTCCTTTTCTCTCTGTTAAAAATCAATAAAATATATTTTTTAAAAAATAAGCAAAATATTAGAAGAGACTCCTCACCAAAGAAGATATTTGGCTGGGAAATAAGCACAGGAACACATACATGTTCCATGCTATTAATCATTATGGAAGGCAATTAAAACTGCAGTGAGAGACTATTGTACATGTATTAGCATTGTTGGCGTAAAATGAAAATATACAGGCAATATCAAATACTGGCAAGGGCATGTAGCAACTATCGAATAACACACTCATACAGTGGTGTCAGAATGGAAAATGGCATGCCTATTTTGGAACACAGTTTGTCAATATCCTACAGAGTTGAACATATAGTTCCTGTGCCAGCAATCCCTTTCTTAGGTATTTGCTATTTACCTAGGAGAAATAAGAACAGATTTTCACACCAAAACCTGTGTGTGAATGTTTCTAGTGGCTCTATTCATTCTTGTCCAAAACTAGAACCAACCCAAGTGTCACTCAGCTGGAATGGCTAAACAGACTGTGGTACATATGATGGCATACTAACCGGAAATAAAAAGGAACGGATTACTGATACATGCAATACCACGGGTCAATCTTAATGCATGATTCTAGTGAAAGAAGCCACCCCCAAAGGCTAAATACGATATTGTATGTAGTCCAAAAGGCTACATACCATGTAATTTCCTTTCTATAACATTTGGAGAACGCAAAATTGTAGGGACAGAAAGAGATCAGTGGTTTCAAGGGGCTGGTGATTGAGGGCAGCGGTTGATTGCCTGGGGGTGTGAGGGAGTATTTGGCAGTGATGAAACTAATCTATATCTTGACCATGGTGGTGGTTAGGTGACTGTGTGTTTTGTCAAAACCCATAAAACTACACTAGGAAGGCTGAATTTTATTGTAAGTAAATTACATCCCAACACACCTGACCTAAACAAACAAACAACCCTGCTGATGAAGCTGAATGGCCGCCAGCATGGCCGTCTCTATGCCTAGGGGCAGATGTCAGTCTGACGTGCCCTGCAGTGTTCCTTCACAGCACCCGCCTCAGTTCGGAATGGCTGTAGACATGTCCCTGTGAACCTGTCACCGTTCCCTCTGCTCCACCATGCTGCCCGGGAGCTCCGGAGGCTCTGTGTCTCCACACCCTTGTTTATCAAATGAATGAATGAGTGAATGAATGAATAAGCAGGTGAATGACAAAACGAATAAATCCCGTGGGTGAATTCTACACATTGACATTGAAGATACTTTTGTGAGTTTTTTAAAAATTCTTTTAAGAGGTAGACATTATTTCTCAATGTCACACAAAAACATTCCTGTAGTAATAGTTATTTTTAATCCAAGTTAGTTGATTCCTTATTAGCCAGACTACCAACTTTGACACCCCCTCCCTCGCTCCTGACTAAAAAACTTCCAATGTATTGAGAAGATCTGTCTGCTCTTCCAGGCTTTTCTGTCTGTATTTTCCAGTCCAACTGCTTTTTCTGTGATCTGAATTATCTTCTTATAACACTATTCAAGGTAAAATGCTCACCACTACCCATCACTCTGCTCCTCTCTCTGTCAGCACATTCAAATGAGAATTTGCCATCCACTATACACTGAGTGGCCAGATTATTATGATCTCTGAACTCATAATAATCTGGCCACTTGATGTATATATATTAGAGGCCTGGTGCATGAATTCGTGCATGGGTGGGGTCCGGCCAGCCCAGCGAGGGGGAGGGGACATGGGCAGTTGGAACTCCTGGTCAACTGGTCAAGGGGACAATTTGCATATTAGCCTTTTATTATATAGGATGTGCACTGAGTGGCCAAATTATTATGCGTTCAGAGATCATCATCATCTGGCCACTCGGTGTAGAGTAGGGGTGTCGAACTCCATCAGAGAAGGGGTCAAAATCTAAAATCCAGCCTAAATCGCTGGCCGAATGGTTTACTGAACAGTCATAAACTGTCATTGTGATGGAAACGCAGCGGAGTGCAGTGATGACAGCGAGGTGTGGGCCACATTGCAAGGCCTGGCGGGACGGATTTGGCCCGCGGGCCTTGTGTTTGACACATGTGGTGTAGAGAGTAGAGAGGTGCACACCCACTCCTAAGCCGTTCTCCAGCCCAGCAGTCATGGTTTCTCTTCACAGGGAGAATCCCCACTCTGCTTTAGGTGTGACCCTGGCCTCATCTCTTTCAGATTGGCTCCTACTTCGGGGCCTCCCTCTGCTCCGTGGACGTGGACAGAGATGGCAACTCCGACCTGGTCCTCGTCGGGGCTCCCCACTACTACGAGCCGACCCGGGGGGGCCGGGTGTCTGTGTGCCCCTTGCCCCGGGGGGTGAGTGGCTGAGGGGACCTGCTGGGTGGAGCTGGGTGTGGGGGGGAGGGGTTGCCCAGGTTGGGACTGGCGCTGCTTCTGTTCTGCAGAGGGCCAGCTGGCAGTGCCAGGCCGTGCTCCGCGGGGAGCAGGGTCACCCCTGGGGCCGCTTTGGGGCGGCCCTGACCGCGCTGGGGGACGTGAATGGGGACAAGCTGGCGGACGTGGCGATCGGGGCCCCGGGGGAGCAGGAGAACCGGGGAGCCGTGTACCTGTTCCACGGAACGTCGGGGCTGGGCATCAGCCCCGCCCACAGCCAGGTGAGGCCCCTCACTGTCTCCATCCTGGCAGCAGACCCTGCAGATCTGTCCCCTTCTCCTTCAGTGTTCCCGCAGCTGCCAGGTTAGTTCCCCCATTACTCCTTCTGGAGCTTTAAAAGCAGTGACGCGCTGCACGAAGCCTGACTCCTCAGTCCTAGGTTAGTTCTCACACAGCCTGGGAGGCCTGGGCCCAGCGCCCGCCCTGTGCGGGGAGGAGAGGCTGCAGCATGGACGGCAGGCTGGACGGGCGGACGTCTTCCCCTCGGCAGGCAGCGGGCAGGTCCGGGTTTGGGCAGAGAGCCGCCCGCTCCGAGGCCTTCCCGCCGGCCGCCTCCCAGAACCGAGCGATCCGGATGCGGTCGCTTGTGGGTCACGCAGGGCCCCTCTCAGGAAATTCAGAAAAAAATTCAGATTTACAGGCAACGTTGAAAGACTTGTACAGCGAACACTCATATGTTTACCCACATTCAACCATGGACATTTTACTAGACTTGCTTGACCGCATAGCCATTCTCTCTCCAGTCCCTCTCGTTTTTCAATGCATTTCAAAGTAAGTTGCAGCATCTGTGCACACCACCTGTAAACATCTCAGCGTGCCTATCATTAACTAGAGTTCAACATTTGTTCACTTTTATTCTTTTTTTAAATAGATTTTATTGATTTTTTTTTACAGAGAGGAAGGGAGAGGGAGAGAGTTAGAATTCAGTAAGCAGCATCGACTTTAAGATATACACATTTCTGGCAGCCCATGGTTCCTGTCAGCTGACAAAATCACTTAAAAATTGTGGTAAAATATACATGACACAAAGCTCACCATTTTAACCGTTTTAAAGTGCATAGATAGAATTTCTTTTTATTTAGCTGTTACTCTTCCAGTGTTATTCTTGCAGATGGACTAGAGAGTCAAATAGCTCTTTAAAAGAAAAAAGTTTTTGATTTCAGAGAGGAAGGGAGAGAGAGAGAGATAGAAACATCAATGATGAGAGAGAATCGCTGATGGGCTGCCTCCCGCACACCCGGGCTTGTGCCCTCACAGGGAATCGAACTGTGACCTCCTGGTTCATAGGTTGACGCTCAACCAACTGTGACCACTGAGCCAGCCGGCCGGGCTCAAAATCGACTTTAGAGACTGACTATGGAAACAGCAATGTCCACACCTCCACTCGCTTTCCTCTCTATTCCCCGGGTCTCCACGAAGCACTGTTACTGATTCTCCATTCTTCCCAGCAACGTGGTTTTGCTGCTTCCGGATTGTCGTTTTTAGCATGGACTTCCCGCCGTGGGAGGTGGGGTCTGAGGCTTTCAGACCCCCTTGGCCACGCCTTCTCCCCTTGCCCCACTCCTGATATTTACACGGTGATTTGGTTAGTATTCAGGCTTGGCACTATGGGACCATGTAAATGAGATTCAGCTGTGCCACTCCTTTCCTGTAAAACTATGTTTCCTAAAACCTCCAGCTGACTGATGGAAGCTTTGGGTGCCATCTCAAGACTGTGGTCCAAAGCTGAACGGCTGCCCTGTTCCTTGAGAAATTACAGGAGATGAGACTTGAATGGTGACTTGGGTCCCTGGGGCATCTGACTTACACACTCCCCGTTCTTCCCGCTCCCTCTCTCCCCTCCTCCTCTCTGTCCCCAGCGGATCGCAGGCTCCCAGCTCTCCCCCACGCTCCAGTACTTCGGTCAGTCCCTGAGCGGGGGCCGGGACCTCACGATGGATGGCCTGATGGACCTGGCTGTGGGGGCGCAGGGGCAGGCGTTGCTGCTCAGGTGAGACCCTCTCTCAGAGCACTCCGGGAGGCCTCCCCTTCGAGGAGCAGCCTAAGGACAGACACCCCTGGTGTCTCTGCAGGTCCCAGCCGGTGCTGAGAGTTCAGGCGACCATGATCTTCATGCCCAGGGAGTTGGCCAGGAGTGTGTTTGAGTGTCGGGAGAATGTGGTGAGAGGCCTGACTGCGGGGGAGGTCAGCGTATGCCTCCGCGTACAGAAGGGCACGGGGGACCGGCTGCCACCAGGTGAGGGGAATGGGGGAGAGGGAGAGGGAACAAGAGAGGGGAAGGGTTGAGTGGCTGGGAGCACTGACAGGAGGCTCAGCCTTCGTGGCAGTTCAGAGCAAAGTGCTCACTGCCTCCACCAGCCTTCTCTGCTTGGCTGGAGCAAGCGGGTGAGTCCCCTGCTGGTAGGGAGGCCCAGCAAACCCTTTGGAGAAAGCCAGCCTCTGGCAGCATCTTACTCTCTCGGTTCTCCAGATAACTGCCCCCCACCACCTGTGAATTAACTGAGATCTTTTTTATTTTTTTAATGGGGAACTCTTTTAAGGGGGAGTTTGTGTTGATGAAGCTAAAGACAAATTCACAAAGCACCCAGACATGCATTTCATCGTAAGGAACTTGACTTCTTTTTTTTATTTTTAAAGAGCGACATTGTGCTGGGGTGAGGGATAGTAGTGGGGGTACTAGAGAGAATAGGGAGTTCATAGAATTCCGTTTCTAGCAGGAATCTTACGGGGCTGAGGAGACAGCAGTCAGAGTTTGGGGCAGCCAGCATGGCTAGAAATTGAAAGCAAAGTCTTGGAGATTAGAGGATTGCAGAGAAAGTAGCCCCAGCTCTGCATAGAAATGCCTTTCAAGTCCTTGGCAGGTCAGTACTCCAAGGAGCTCAGCTGATGACAGCAACTGGAGAGCTCAAGAGCTGAGCAGAAATTCTGCAGCTCGTGCTGCTGGGGAAATGGAGATTCAGGAGGGGCCTTTGTAAACAAATCGTTTGCTCTATTGGGACAATGTCCATAGAGTCCAGCAATCAGGAGAAACAACAGACAATAGAAATAGACCCAAAGGTGATTTCATAAATTAGAGTCATCAGACAGGAATTCAAACTGATGGAGAACCTCAGAAAAGACTTGAAATTCATAAAATAGAGTCAAGTGGAAATGCTAGCCCTGAAAAACATGCTAACTGAAATGAAGAATTCAATAAATAAATTCAATAGAAGATGAGAAGCAGAACAGAGAATCACTGTAGTGAACTGGAAGGTAAAGCAATGAAAAATATACAAATTAACAGAGAGAAAAGGATGAAAACTATAGAAAGAAACCATTAGGGATATATGTGACATGGTGAAAGATCTAATTAACATTGACTGGAATTCCAATAGGAAAAGAGAGAGAGAGAGAGAGAGAGAGAGAGAGAGAGAGAGAGAGAGAGAGAGAGAAAGAAGCAACAGTTAAAAAAATAGTAATGAAGAATTTTCTAAAACTGGTGAAAGATATCAAGATTCTCTATCAGCCAAAGCCGGTTTGGCTCAGTGGATAGAGCAACAGCCTGCGAACTGAAAGGTCCCAGGTTCGATTCCGGTCAGGGGCATGTACGTTGGTTTTGGGCACATTCCTGGTAGGGGGTGTGCAATAGGCAGCTGGTCAATGTTTCTCTCTCATTGACGTTTCTAGCTCTCTATCTCTCTCCCTTCCTCTTGTATTATAAAAAATCAATAAAATATATATATATTTTTAAAAAGATTCTCTATCAAAGTAGGGTACATAGAAAGGGAATCACACCATGGTACGTTACACTGGTGCACACAACACTATTCATTATAGTACTAGATCCAGGCAGAAACTGCTGAAGCCCAAAGACAAAGAAAGTTAAGAGCAGCCAGAAAAAACATGCTGTTTTCCAGTGTGCAACAGAACAGCTGCCATGCATTGAGCACTCACTGTGTGGCAAGCACTGTGCTATGTGCTTTGCAGACACTATTTCACTTCATTTCCACCACTGTGAGGGTGCAATCATTGTCCTCAATCTAAAAATAGGGAATTGAGGCCCAAAGAGGTCAGAGAAGCTGCCCAGAGTCACCGGCTGGGGAGCGGGAGCTGGGCCGCGCCTGCCTGTCTGCCTCCAGCCGGCTGCTCACTGTGCGCCTGCCCCCAGAAGAGATCCGGAGCTCCATCCTCTACGACCTGGCGCTGGACTCCACGCGCCCGCGGCCCCGCGCCGTCTTCGCGGAGACGAAGAACAGCACACGCCGGGGGACGCGGGTCTTGGGGCTGAGCCAGACGTGTGAGACCCTGAAGCTGCAGTTGCCGGTGAGGGGGGGCGGCCACGGCCCCAGCAACGGGGGTGGCGGGGGGGGGGGGGTAGGAAGCTGAAAGGCAGACCCCAACCACCGCTCGCTCTCAGGAGTGTGTGGAGGACTCCGTGACCCCCGTTGTCCTGCGCCTCAACTTCTCCCTGGAGGGGCAGCCCTTGTCCTCCTACGGGAACCTGCGGCCGGTGCTGGCCGTGGACGCTCAGACCCTCTTCACGGCCTCGGTGAGTCCCGGGCGGGTCCTGCCGGGCCGGGAGGGACAGAGGCCAAGAGGTTGAAACTCATTTTATTTCCTTTTGACATTTTATTTTGTTGTTGCCTGTCACCTTGGAATCCTTTCGTTATTTCCTCCCATTCCGTTTCATCAGGCCCCGTTTCTTTGCAGCTTCCCTTTGAGAAGAACTGTGGCAACGACAGCGTGTGCCAGGACGCCCTCAGCATCAGCCTCAGTTTCACCAAGTGCGTTTCCCTCCTCGCTGCTGCCCAGCCTAGGCTACCCGGTGCCGCCTCCCCGCCCGGAGCCGGAGCGGCTGCTCCGGGGGTGTCTGCGGGCTGCCCACCGCTGTCTCCTCTCCCCAGTGCCCCCCCCCCCCCGCCCCGGAGCTGACCTCCCACCGGGAGGCCTCAGCCTCTCATGCCCGGCTTGTCCCCCAGCCTGCACACCCTGGTGGTGGGCGGTCCCCGGAACTTCAACCTGACGGTGACGGTGCGGAACCAGGGCGAGGACTCCTACGGCACGCGGGCCGCCTTCTTCTACCCGCCCGGCTTGTCCTACCAGAGGGTGTCAGGGGTCCAGGTAGCCCAATGCTTCCCGCTGCACTGGCCTCGCTTTCTGGTCCCCAGGCTCACGGCTGACGTCACACACCATCTGCCCCCCTTGCCTTCCAGTCCCGGCACTCCTGGCGGTCCTGGCGTGTCAACTGTGAGTCCGACCCCTTCGCCCAAGCTGGGGCCCTGCACAGCGGCAGCTGCACAATAAACCAGCCCATCTTCCCCGGCAACTCAGAGGTCAGGCTGGGCCCCTCACCTTTTCTCCCCTGTCTTCTTCTGAATTCCCTCCTCCTCCTCTTCCTCCCCCTCCTCCTCCTCCTTCTCCTCCTCCTCTTATTCAAATAGCTTCCTTTTCTGAGAACCAGCTTCGCTGACATAATGCAAACACCACACACCACCATTGACAGCATTCCCACTCTATGGCTCCTGGGTGGGTCACAGACTGTGTGTCCATCACCACCATCCATTTTAGGGTATTTCCTACCCCAAGAAGTGACTCTGCTCCCCTTGGCCATCACCCCAACCTTCTCCCAGCCCCAGGAACCGCCAGCCCTGTCCCCCTCCAGCCCCATCCCCCTCCAGCCCCATCCCCCTCCAGCCCCATCCCCTCCAGCCCTGTCCCCCTCCAGCCCCATCCCCTCCAGCCCCGTCCCCTCCAGCCCTGTCCCCTCCAGCCCCATCCCCCTCCAGCCCCATCCCCTCCAGCCTCTCCCATCTGGACGTGTGGCACAGTGCACCCTGTACGCGTGGTCGCCTGCGGCTGGCTCCTTTCACAGCAGCAGGTTCCCAGGATCCCCCCTGCAGACCTTCATTCCTCTCACTGCCCAGTGCTGCTCTGTCAGACTCTCAGATGGGCCACCACACCTGCCGCACTGGTGCTTCCACTGAGGAGCGTCTGGTGTTTCTCCTCCTATTCCTGTTCTCTCTCCTTTCTCCGACGCCAGGTCACCTTTAACATCACGTTGGACGTGGACTCTGATGCCTCCCTGGGAGACAGACTGCTGCTCACGGCCAACGTGACCAGGTGCAGGCATCCTCCACGTTGGGTCACGCCCTCTGCCGAGCGTGAACGGCTGCCCCCACCCCAGCTGGTTCTTGCTTCAGCTCATTCATTCAGCAAACACTGAATGAACCCCCGTGCCAGGCACGGGCCCCGGGCTGGTGGGACAGGGAGGACGAGGCCTGGCTGCACTCACCGAGGTTAGCACTCAGCGGCAAGGCAGGCAGGAGCGGGCGGTTCCGTAACTGACACGGCTGCCCGTGTTCTCGGGAGCTCGGTGCTCAGAGAGGAGTCCCGGAGCAGAGGTGCTGAGGCTGTGAGGGGCCAAGCAAAGGCATAGATTGAGGGGCCGTGAAGACAGAATGAAGGAGGAGTGTGCGGAGGAGGGGCCGGAGCTGGAAAGACGGGACGTGTGGGGGCGTGGCCCAGGCCCAGGACGCAGGGCTGGAGGAGGGGTGGAGATGTTGGCACAAACTGGATAGTGTCATGGACCGGCTGATGGGTGCTGTCAGGACGTCTGCAGCGTGACCTGGGCGTGACAGGGTCACACTGGCATGGAGAAAGGCCACCCCCGGAGGGCTGGGGCTTGGGCAGAGCGGGTGGTGGTGGTGGTGGTGGGAGCAGTTTCGATTTCAGGGACCAGAGAGAAGAAGGCAGCACAGACATCCAGGAAGTGGGGGTGGAGAACAGTGGTGGCTGGGATGCAGAAAGAACTAGCTGGGTGGTTGGTTTGAGGTGGAGGGAGTGGAGAGGGAGCGGGAGAGGGAGAGGGGAGGGAAATGGGGAGGGAGAGGGAAAGCTCTCTGTCTCTCTTCAGTGAGAACAACTCGCCGAGAACCAACCAGTCGGAGGCCCAGCTGGCGCTGCCGGTGAAGTACGCCGTGTACATGGTGGTGGCCAGGTACACGCCCAGAGCCCCTCCCGCTGCACACGGGCTGGACGGGCCACTGAGCACCAGTGTGTGTCAGTCTGCACACGAGTGCCTGTGTGCTCTGAGGATAAACGAGCATGTGTGCATGAGCATGTGCGTGTGCATGGTGTGTGTGTGTGTGCATGAGCACGTGTGTGTGCACGAGCATGTGTTTGCATGTGTGCACGTGTGTGCGCATGTGTGTTCACACGTGTGTGAGGCCCAGCCACACACATCACCCCCTGCACTCCAGCCTGCTCCCACCCTCTCAGGCCTGCATTACCCATGTGCCTATTGAACCCTTACACACGAGACTCCCCTTCCAGAACATTCACCTGCTCCTTCTTCTTTCCACCATCAGTCGCGAGAGCTCCATCAAATTCCTCAGCTTCCCAGCTTCCACGAAGACCAGCCAGGCCATAAGCCATCAGTATCAGGTGGGGCCCCGAGGCCGGGCCAGGGTGCAGAATAGTGAGGGGAAGGGGGCGTCAGGGCTGCTGTGTGCCAGGCTCTGCCCACGCTCGCTCTCACTACACACACACACGCACACACACACGCACACACACACACACACACACACACACACACACAGGCGTGCACACACGTATGTCCACGGGACTTTACCAAATCGCTGATGCTCACGCCCGGGGATAAATGGTGCTGTTTGCACATGACCACGCACACCCGGATCGCCGAGAACCTGTTGCGGTGGGGAAGTGGTGCGGACAGGGCTGCTCTGTGCTGCCCCGGGATAACGACAGGACAAAGAAGTGGGCACAGGCCAGGCCCACCCGTAGCCTAGCTACATGGCACACGTCAGCAACAACTGACCCTTTCCTCTGAGTGTTTTCCACACCCACCCGTGGGTGCAGAGGGCGGCTGGACGCACGCACACAGTCCCCTCCTGTTACCTTCACAGTGACTGCGGGGGTGGGGGGGCAGGGCCCGCTCACAGCCGGGCTCACAGCACCCTGGCCTCCCCTCTGGCCGCTGCCTGCCCCCCAGAGGGCGCGGGCAGGAGGTGCCTGGTCCCGCGGGCCTGGTCCTCAGGTCCCGGCAGGAGGGGTGAGATCAGCCAGGCCAAGTGCTGGGCAGGAGGGGTGAGAGCAGCCAGGCCGGGGTCCTCACACCCGCCTGCCACCTGCAGTTCAACAACCTGGGGCAGAGGGGTCCCCGTGTCAGCGTGGTGCTCTGGATCCCCATCCGGCTGGACCAGGAGCCCGTGTGGGGCGACCCCGCCGCCGTCTTCTCCCCGGTAAGCCCGCGGGCCGTCCTCCACAGCCGGTCTCCCCTCAGCTCTGTCTCCTCTGACCTTCTCCTGGACCTGGGACACCGCTCCTCCTTGGGGTGCACCTGGGAGCGCTCACAGGACCCCTCTTCCCCCAGGACCTGAACAGGACCTGCCGCCAGGAGGAGCGGGAGCCCCCACGCTCCAGCTTCCGTGCTGAGCTGAGCAAGGCCCCAGTGCTGGTAAGAAGGGTACTGGGCTCCGGGCTCAGCACCGCCCCCTGCCTGGCTCCCAGCCCCTCTGCTCCCAGAACTGCTCCCCCAGCCCCTCCGCCCCCAGAATTGCTCCCCTAGCCCCTCCGCCCCCCCCCAGAACCACTCCCCCCAGCCCCTCCGCCCCACAGAACTACTCCCCCAGCCCCTCCGCCCCCCAGAACCACTCCCTCAGCCCCTCCGCCCCCCAGAACTGCCCCCCCAGCCCCTCTGCCCCCCAGAACTGCTCCGTCGCCGTGTGCCTGCGCATATGCTGCGCCCTGGCTGAGCCCTTCGGCGGCCAAGAGGGGTTCAGCGTCAACCTCACGGGCAGCCTGTCCTTCGGCTGGTACATCGAGGTAAGGGGGCCGAGCCAGCCGGGCTGCACATGGGGCCGCCCAGGCACCGAGGCCCGGGCCCATCGGGTCTGCCTGCCACCCAAGCCCAGACCCAGTGCCGCCTCTCCCCCCAGACGCTGCACAAGCACCTCCAGGTGGTGAGCACCGCGGAGATCCTGCTGGACGACCCGGGGTTTGTTCAGCTGCCCGGACAGGAGGCCCTCGTGAGGGCCCAGGTACCTGCTTGGGGAACAGGGGGCTCCTGGGAGGGGAGGGGGCTGGCTTTGGGGCTGTCTGGTAAAGAGGGGGAGGTGGGGGGGGGAAGGAGGGCTGGGTTGGGGGCACGGGGAGGGCTTAGTTATTGGGTGCAGGGTGCAAGGTCTGCAGAAACCCCAGAAACCAGAACCTGTGTCCCTGCCCTCCCCTTCCTGCCCCAGACAGAGACCAAGGTGGAGCCGTTTGTGGTGCAGGACCCGGTGCCGCTCATCGTGGGCAGCTCCGTGGGGGGGCTGGTGCTCCTCGCCCTCATCACCGCGGCGATGTACAAGGTACCCCCGGCGCCCTCTGCCCGCCCTCCTGCCCCCTCGCTGCTTCTTCTGGGTTTGCCTGCCCTGGGCAGCCGCTCGGTGACCATGGCCAGTCCCAGGGCCTCAGCTTCTTCAGCTGTGAAACGGGAGCACAAATACCCCTTTGGCGAAGGGAACTGAGTTAATTCGTGCGGAGCACCCAGAGTGCCCAGGACAGAATGACCACCACATCAGGAGCAGTTCTCCTCCTTCTATCTCATTTTCTTTCTTCCTGGCCTCAGGAAATATATATATTTTATTGATTTCAGTGAGGAAGGGAGAGGGAGAGGGAGAGAGAGATAGAGACATCGGTGATGAGAAATCATTGATCTGCTGCCTCCTGCACATCCCCTACTGGGGATCGTGCCCACAACCCAGGCATGTGCCCTTGACAGGAATGGAACCTGGGACCCTTCAGTCCGCAGGCTGATGCTCTAGCCACTGAGCAAAACCAGCTAAGGCCCCAATATTGTTGCCACCTTGCTCCCTGCCCCACTTTTCCCAGGTCCCTTCCATACTCTGACACCTTATTCGTTGCCCTCTTGGTCCCTCTGTCCCCACTCGGGGCCTGCATGGCCCTGGCCGTGGTGTCTCATTGATCCAGCTCAGCCGTGTTCCTGCCCACAGCTCGGCTTCTTCAAGCGGCAGTACAAGGACATGATGAGTGAAGCCGCTCCTGAGGCCGCCCCACCCCAGTAGCCGCTCCTCCCGCTGCGTGGCGTCTCCTGTGGGTAGACCAGCGCACAGGCTCTGGACAGACACGTCCGTCCGTCCGTCCATCCACCCGGAGACTGTGGTGATGTCTCACTCAGAAAAGACCTGCTTAGGTTTCCATTTCTATTCGTGTGTGAGTGTTTGTTGTGTGTCTCAGATGTCTCTGCACGGGGGCCAGACGCTTTGGCAAACCCTCTCAGGAGGAATGCTTGGGCTGAAGGCGCCGTCCAGCCTTCCTCCAGGACAGAGGTGAAGGCAGTCCCTGCTGAAGGGAGGCCTCCCTTCGGGGCGAGGACACCTGCAGCAGCTGGACAGCCACCACACAGGCCCCATGGGGAGCCACGTTAAGGCCCAGACCTGGCCAGCCGACAGGAGCCTGCCCAACCCCCTCCACACAAAGCTAAGAACGTCCAATAGGCAATGACACCTCCCTTTACCAATTACTGACTGTCCTAATGTCACTTTAGGTTTTGAATATATAAACCTGTTCATAGTGTAAGTCAACAGTCTCCCTTCCAGCCCGATCGCCCACCATTTAAGTCACTTCTGAAGGCCAGTCAAGGCCACGTGTTTTCGGGTCTCCTTCCCGAGGACTCTAGGCATATGCAAACAGACACACACACACACACACACACACACACACACGATTTTCACACAGATGATAGCACAGGCTATTTATCCTCTTCTGCATCAGCTCTTTTTCATTAATAAAGCTCAGCCATTGTTTCATATAAGACATAAAGTACTTTTTCATTCTTTTATACAGCTCAACAGTAGTTCATTGTGTCATGATGAACTACTTAACCAGTCTCCTTTTTAAAAACTTTTTATTAATTATGGTATCACATAATTATCCTCATCCCCCCATTCCAATCCCAAACCCCTCCCCACATATGCCCCCACCCCCTGTTGTTCATGGCCACTGGTTAGGCCCATATGCATGCACACAAGTCCTTTGGTTGATCTCTCCCCTGCTTACCCCCACCCTCCCCTACTTTCCCTCTGAGGTAACCAGTCTCCTTTTGATATACTATTTCCAATCTCTTGTGATTAAAATGATTGTGAACTAATAAATTGAATATATGTCATTTTTGCATATGTATAAAGATAATTTAAAGGATATACTCCCAGAGGTTTACATTCTCCAAAAAGCAATAAGAATTTAAGTGAAGTAATTTCATCTCACAGTGGTATCAGGAAATAACAATAGAGGACAGAAGGCCTGTAACTGAGGACTTGCTAAAGGAGCCGCTTTGAGATTGGTACGAAGGGCAGAGACACAGAAAGCACTGGCCCTGCTTCCATGAGTGGCAGCCGGGATCCTAGCTCAGCTGCAGAGGTCCCCTGAGGGGCACAGGGTCTCACCCCCATCCAGGTTCCCAGCCCAGAACAGCAGAGCCAGGCACCCTCTCAGACACGGGTTCATTCATAACATCGGGCTGTGAACATCAGCAGGGATTCTGTCTGCCAGAAAGAGATGGGAGTCTGCTAGAGACACAGGTGCCCTCTTAAAGGGCCAATGCACAAAATCTCATTTGCAGCTCCGCTCCCCCCCGACACTCTCCCCACTCCATCCTTCCATGGGCTCTAGCAGTGGGAGGGTACAGCAGACTGGAATCATGTGAGGAGAGACTGGAGTTTGTGGCTCTGGGAGAGAGCTGAAGGGATGGCTGTTGGGAACCCTGTGCTGAGTCCCTCTACTGCACCTCAGATACAGTAGATCTTTCTTGGGTGGAGCACTCCCCTCCATAGGGCATCAGCCTGGGGGAAAGCAATAGGCCTACCCTCTGGACTGCCTCTCACCTCACCCTGAATAGCTTGCACCCTGTTGAGTAGTCAGCTGCCTGGGCTGGGTGTGGCTGTCTGGGTAGATTTGGGAGGTGACAGTGCCCAAGTGGTGTGGCTTTGGGTCAGGGGCCATTCTCCTCCCACTTTCCCATGAGCCTGACTGGTGCCTCCCCTTCATGGGAGACCCTTTAGCTCCACCCTCCAGGCTCCAGGTGACCCACCCTCTCAACATCTGGTGTCCCCACTCTGCCACGGTCTGGGCAGAACCTCGGACAGACTGAGTTGTGTGGCTCTAGGACAGGGGCTATTTCCCTCCCTTCCCCCAAGCTCCCCAAGTCCACCCAGTGTAGAACCTGACCACTGAGAGCTTACCTCATGCAACTTCACATGGCCACATCCTGGTCTGTTTGGGCCTGATAAACTCTGCTGGCCTCACTCTGACAACTTCCTGAGTCCCCACCACACAGCCCAGGTCTGCAGACGCCTGGCGGGGGCAGCTAGACTAGGTGTACCCTGGGACTTTTGCTGAGTGGCCTCGGACCCAGCATAGGTACAGAGTTTGAACCTGTATCAATCTGATGAAGACTACTCACCCCTTACTCAAGGACTCACTGAGAACCTACCCCATGCAACTGGAATATTGCCAGAGGCTCTTTCAGTGACTGAGCCTAAGAGGCAACCAGCAGGCAGAGGCAGATCTCAGGGAGACTTGGGACTTTTGCTGAGCTGCCCAGGGCCTGTGCTGGTAAAAGCCGGCTTTGGTGCATAGCTTGGTCCCTCCCTTGCACATTTAGCCTCTGCTGAGGCAGCCAGCAAACTGTAGATTACTTTATAGCTCCAAACAGGTTGCCCAGGGTCAGTCACAGGCAGCACCTGACATGGGCCTACACCAGAGTCCCTTCCAAAGGCCTCAGAAACAACACACCCAAGTGGCCAGCTTCAGAAAATATCATGGCAGGATCCAGGTAGCTGCACAAGCAGCTCATCCTATGGAGATATTGGCTGGGATCAGACCTTGCTGAGGCGGCTTGCTCTTCATGTGTTCAGCACCTGCATAGCACCTCACATATAAGCGAGTCTGAGGGTCAATAGCAATCAAGACTCACCACAAAACCCACACAAGAGACATTCCTGGAGCGCCCAGATCAGGTAATCAAGGAGACAGTGCTACTAGGGCAAGAGAGGTGGTGGTGGCAAGAGGGAAGCCCCCAGAAGACTAGCAGGAATATTGCTGCAACAGGTCACCAGTGTGTGTGTGTGTGTGTGTGTGTGTGGGTGGGTGTGTATTACTGGAAGTCCTAGCCATAGCAATCACACAAAAAGCAGAAAAAAAGACATCAAAATTGAATAGGAAGAAGTAAAATTGTCATTTGCAGATGACATAACACTGTATATAAAGAACCCTAAATATTCCACAAAAAAACTGCTAGAACTGAAGTCAATAAAGTAGTAGGATACAAAATAAATATCCAGGAACAGTTGCATTTAACATTATATATATATATATATATATATATATATATATATATATATATATATATATATATATTTCAGAAAGGAAGAGAAAGGGAGAGGTAGAAACATTAATGATGAGAGAGAATCATTGATTGGCTGCGTCCTGCATACCCTTAACTGGGGATTGAGCCCACAACCTGGGCATGTGCCCAGATCAGGAATTAAACTGTGACTTCCTGGTTCATGGGTCGATGCTCAACTATAGAACCACACTGGCCAGACAGATTATTTTCTTAGTTTTTCCTTCTGAGAGTTAGTTATTGGTGTATAAAAATGGAACTGCCCAACTGGCTCAGTTGAGTGTCGACTTATGAACCAAGAGGTCATGGTTGGAGACTGGTCAGGGCACATGCCTAGGTTGCTGGCTTGATCCGAATGGGGGATGCACGGGAGGCAGCTGATCAATTCTTCTCTTTCCACATTGATGCTTCTATTTCTCTCTCCCTCTCCCTTCTTCTCTGAAATCAATTAAAAATATTTTGAAAAAAGAAAATAATCCCACTTCCAATTGCATCAAAAATGTAACATACCGCTCTCTTCCGCCATGCAGCCGGCGTGAGTGGGACAGAGCCCATGCTAGCATGGAAAAGGCTCTTTTGTTTATTGCATTGGACTCGGCTCCCTGGTGGTCCTTGGGGATCACGAAGTCTGGGCGTAACAACTTTGAGCATGTTTTCATAAGTCTCTTGGCTTTCTATATGTCTTCTTTTGAAAAGTGTCTATTTAGGTCCTTTGTCTATTTTTTTTTATTATTATTATTAGATTGTTATATTCCTTTTGTTAAATTGTGTGAGTTCCCTGTAAATGTTGGAGATTAAACCCTTATCTGAGATTAAAAAAAATAAATAAATAACATACCACCTGGCTGGCGTGGCTCAGTGGACTGAGTGTCATCCCGTGCACCAGGAGTTACTGGTTCAGTTTCTGGTCAGGACACATGCCCAGGCTGCAGCTCAATCCAGTGAGGGGAGTGCAGGAGGCAGCCTATTGATGTTTCTCTCTCATCGATATTTCTGTCTCTTATTCTTCTCTAGAATCAATAAAAACATATACTTGAAAAATTTAAGACACTAAAAAGAGAAATTGAAAATAGAAATAAGTATAAGAATATACCATGTTCATGGATAGGAGCAATTAAAATCTCCATACTACCCAAAGCAATCTATAGGTGCAATGCAATTCCTATCAAGATACTAATGGACTGTTCCACAGAACTAGAATGAATATTCCAAAAATGTGTATGGAACCACAAAGACCCAAAAAAACCACAGCAATACTAAGAAAGAAGAACAAAATTGAAGAAATCACACTATCTAATATCAAACTGCACTACAAGTCAATAGTAACCAAAACAGCATGGCCCTGGCAAAAAATAGAATATAGATCAATGAAACAGAATAGAGAGCTCAGAAATAAACCCACACATTTATGGTCAATTAATATACAACAAAGGAAGCAAGAACATACAGTAGAATGAAGATATTCTATTCAGTAAATGGTGTTGAGGAAATTGGACAGATGAGTGCAAAGAAACTGAAACTAGACCACCTTCTAACACCATACAGAAGAATAAACTCAAAATAGATTAAATACTTAATGTAAGACTCAAAACTATAAAAATCCTAGAAGAAATCATAGGCAGAAAATCTTGGACATTTCTCATAGCAATATTTTTTTCTGATATTTGTTCTGATATGAACAAATGGGACAACATCAAACTCAAGTTTTTGCACAGCAAAGGAAACCGGCAACAAAATAAAAAGACAACCCACTGAATGGAAGAACAAATTTGTCAGTGATACATCCAAAATTTATAAAGAACTTACACAACTCAATAACAAACAAACAAACAAACAATCCAATTCAAAAATAGGTAAAGGACCTAGTAGACATTTCTCCAAAGAGGACATACAGATGGCCAGTAGACATATGAAAAGATGCTCAATTTCTCATTAATGATCAGAGAAATGCAAATTAAAACCACAATGTGCTATCACCTTACATCTGTCAGAATGGATAAGAACATCTACACAATGGAATACTATGCTGCCATAAAGAAGAAGGAATTCTCATCATTTGCAGCAACCTGGATGGAATTGGAGAACATCATGCTGAGTGAAATAAGCCAATCAATGAAAGAGAAACACCACATGACCTCACTCATTTGTGGATAATAAAGAGCATTATAAACTGATGAACCAAAAGATAGATATAGAGACAGTAAAGCAACAAGCAGATTGTCAAATTACAGCGGGGAGGGGAGGAGGATCTGGGGGAGATAATAGATCAACCGAAGGACTTGTATACATGCATATAAGTACAACCAATGGACATAAAACTATGGGGAGGGAGGGGCTATGGGGGAGGGAGGGAGGGGGGCAAAAAAAAAAATCATTAAAATATGTAAAAAAAAAATAATTAAATAAATTAAAAAAAAAAAAAAAAAAAAGAAATGAAAAAAAAAAAAAAAAAAAAAAAATCAACAAACAACAAGTGTTGGTGAGAATGTGGAGAAAAGGGAACACTTGTGC